CCCGATCTCCACCCATCTTCCTAAACTCTCCCGATCTCCACCCATCTTCCTAAACTCTCCCGATCTCCACCCATCTAACTTCTTTTGAAAACACTCTGGCCCTGAACAGGCATTTCATTCTAATGTGTAGAATGTGGCCGCCTGTAATCCATCGTCAAAGCACTTTATCTTTGGCAGGCTTCCTGGGGCCCAGGAGCCCCCGTGGCTGGGCTACACTCCCGATCGGACGCTAGTCCATCATGGCGCGGCTACACACAATCAAGCACTATAGGCAATTTGCAAATGTGAATTCGCCTAATTGGATGTTTTTGGGCTGCAGGAGTAAACAGGAGCCCCCAGAGAGAAGCGGCGTAACACAGTGAGGACATGCAAAGACAGAGCAACGGCAGGTTTCGAACCCTGGCAGGGTGACGTAACACAGCTAACACCGAGTCACTGTGCCGGCCTACAGCTATACACAGCACTGCAAGGAAGGCCAGTACAGCGCGCACACACACACACACACACACACACACACACACACACACACACATAAATAAACATATCTTTATGGGGACCGACACACATGTGGGGACCACTCATTCATGCTAATGCTAATGCTAACTATGACAACCTTAACCCCTACCCAGCCCTAACCATAACCATAACCATAACCATAAGTAACCAAGCAAAATACAAGAGTTTTGGCATTATTAGTTTTTTCATTGCAGTCACAGATTTTTATTAAACTGAGTTTTCCCTTATGGGGCCAGGAAACTGGTCCCCACAAGGTAAGGTATACCTGGAGCACATACACACACACACACACACACACACACTCACACCCCCATTCACCTGAATGGCATGTGCTAGGACTTTAAAATTTAAAACATACATGGACAACATCCAAGCTCAAGGCTTGGACTGGATTCAGCTGCACAGCCCTGGAGGAAGGAGCCAGATGGCTACTCACTGAGTAATACCAGGTCAAAGATAGTCACCAATTAAGAGTCCCTTATGCATTCTAGCAGGATCATAATGACTGTTTCTGAATTAATATATGACAGTGATAAACAAACAGCCAGATATGAAAATAATTGAACGATGACAATAATTTTTGGTTACACTCTGAGGTGGCACAAACAACTTAGTAACTCAGTTACTACTCAGGTACAAACCATGAGCAAATATAGTAACTGCATGGAACACATAAAATGTCAGGATTATCGATGAACGAACATGGGATCAGTACCTAACTAACACTTAGTTTCTGTTTAATTAATACATTAAGTAAGAGTGTACTACTACATTATTTGTGCCCCCTCAAGTAAAGTAGAGATTATTTTATTTGTTATCTGTGTGTTATTTCTTGCTCTCATTTCAAGCTTCAGGAGATAATTGAGAACTTTGCATCAGCTTGCATTTCAAACAAAGGTATCCAATCGTGGCTCGCGTGGGCGGGGCATGTTAGGTTTGGGGGCGGGGCCAGCAAGCTCACCTGGCAGCGATGAGGTCGAGCAGGTGCTGCCAGCGCTCGTTGACTTTGCTGAGCTTGTTGCCGATCTCGGTGGCCTTGCCCTCGTGACTGGCCTTGGCCAGGCGCTCGCCCATCTGCTGCAGCTGCAGCCGGTTCTCCTTGGCCACGGCCATCTCCTCCTGGTAGTCCTGAAACGGCACGGGGGTCAACCCACGCTGATGATGATTTGGTGCAACTCGGTCCACCGCAAAACAAGAGCAGCTAATTACTAAATCGCTTAACATCTGTGGAATCTTCTGGAATTCCAGTAGCAATTGTCAAGTATAGCTTCTACCAAAATCCATGTTGTTTTGATGAAAAGTTCTTCCATGTTTTCCATTTTAACTAACAGTATTCTGAGAATATTCTGAAATTTTCAAACATTTTCAATATCTCCAGTATTCCATAATCCGTTTCTTGTTGATTACATGATGTTTAAGAAGAAACCATGTTCTCATCCTCCTGCATGTGCAAACAGGTTCTGCTGAGACACCAGACTGTGGTTTCTGAAAGACAAGCACGCATGCGTGCATAACCACACGCACACACACACGCGGCATCCATGCGGCCTGCCTGCTCCCTGCACCCACCTTTCTCAGCTTGTCGATCATCTCCTCGATGCTGATGTCCCCGTTCTGCGAGACCTTGCTCTCCATCTGAGTCAGCCAGTCACAGAGCTCCTTGTGCTTCTCGCTGAAGATCGCCCACTCGTTCAGCTTCTCATTGACCTGCTGCCTGCGGAGGGCTAGCTGCGGGGGGGGGGGGGGGGGGGGGGGGAGCAGGGATGGTACACTGTAAATGGATAATATCATAATTCTCTGTCATTTCTAATAATTTAGTCAACTGCAATGTATCTCACATCCGACTAATACAGAACTTACTACGTTAACTTCAAATAGTAATGCTACTATTAAACTGTCATGCTGAATTCATTTTCAGTCAATAACAGAATGCATAATTATAATGTTATCGACCAAGCTGTTAACCATTATTACTGTTGTTGTATGCGGTTTCATTTACATTTGCGTTTAACACATTCGGCTGACGCTTTCGTCCAAAGTGACGTACAACCGGGGCAAACAACACATTGTACTGTAAACATACGGCTGTCAAGGAGTCAACTACGCGTAACTGCAGCTAGGCTGAGCTTCCAGTGAATGACCAGGTTTCAGCTGCATCCTGATGTCTAGAGCATGTAAAAACCAGGAATATAAAGAAAGGATGGAATAAGAGGGAAGGATAAAGAGGGATAGAGAGATGGAGGTGTACACTACACAGACGATGCTCACCTGGGCTACATTAACAGAGAATGGAAAAAAGGTTAGAGCTACTGCAGATCGCACACCCGCTCTGTTACCGGGGAAACGGCAGCCTGGCTACGTAAAACATTCTGCTATCAGAGCTGGACAGAGAAATGTCTGCAAAAAGTGCCTCTTCACGTAAACGAAGAAAAAAAGACATTAAAAAAAGGCCGCATTTGATGTACCAGGCAGATTTACAACAGCCGCCGGAAAAGTCTTCACCGCGGCAAGGCGCCTGAAACTGCAACCTCGCCGGAAAACAAAAACGGCTCCTTGCAGACCCGCACAGGGACGCCGGCCGGCCGGCACGAAAACGGAAATGGCTCACTGTGAAGCGGGGGGCCCGTTACCTGCAGTGAGGGCCGTCCTTCATGTCTGCAGTCGCCACTGTGAGGCCACCACCGATCTCTGCTTCAAGCTGCCGCGGCCAACGATGCCTGTGGCCCCCGCTAGAGCCGTCACGCTCACCCACTCGCTCAGGCGGAGCGCCGGATGTGTGTGCGGCTGTTGCTCTACATATCCTTCCTCTGCTTTAGTTTTTTTTCTTTCTTTCTTTCTTTCTTTTATCGGGGGCGGGGGGGGGTTATATTTTGTGCTATTTCTCAGCCTGAGCAAAGGAGGACTGAGACCAAATAGGGGCCGGACTGACACATTTCATTCACTGAGTCAGATGCCATTTAATTGGCGTGGCAGCACCCCACTCTGGCCACAGTGAGAATTACAAACTAAAAAAAAAACAAATGTCACAGAATAGATGGTTACATACTGGATATATAGAATCTAAATGTGTGCTGGAGGTGAGTGGATGAGATATTTGTGTGTTGGACGGATTATAACTGGGGGGAAAAGCTGGAGCTGGGGTGGGGGGGGATTTACCTGATGGCAGATCTCCTCCCACTGGCGGTGCAGCAGCTGGATGCGCTCCTGCATCACAGACAGGTCATCCGTGCTGATGCCACTCAAGAGCGCCCCCTTCAGGAGGCCCAGGTGTGAAAGCTCCTCTGTCCAGCTGGCCAGCGTGTTCTCCAGCTCCTGTGCAAACACAAAGTCTGTCAGCAGGGGGCAGTGCTGACTTTGCTGAGCTTTACAACAATATATATATATATATATATATTTTTTGTATTAACACTGATACACTTCAGGTCTGTAAAAACATCCTACTTCTCCTACATAACATTAAATTTTTGTTGTCTTTTCAATCACCTGATTTTCATATGCATTTCATACTACTATTATCAGGAGAATAATCAGCTAAATATACTCAATAATAAAAGAAATACAGCATAATACTGGCATTACGGATGCCGTGCATGGCTACGGACTTTAACACATCACTGTCACCTTGCAGCGGATCTGCTCCGAATGCAGCGCCTCCTGGTGGTCAGGTAGAGGCAGGGACAGCTTACGCTTGAAAACGCGCAGCTTCTCTAACGAGCCTCCGATTCCCTTCTCACATCTCTCCCAGTCCTGCGATCGACACACACACACATAGAGTCATCAGATCATCCGTGCTGCACGGTGCGCAATAAATTTCCTGCTGCAGTAGTGTAGCTGGTAGACCAACATGGTAGGAAGCAGGAGGAGCAGTATGCACACACACACACACACACACACACACACACACACACACACACGCACAGACACACACACACACACAGAAAGACATACACATGTTGGGTAAACATATCTTTATGGGGACCGCTCATTCATTTCTATGGGAAAAATGCTAACGCTAACTATGACAACCTTAACCCCTACCCAACCCTAACCATAACCATAACCATAACCATAACCATAACCATAACCATGACCATAACCATAACCATAACCATAAGTAACCAAGCAGAATACAAGAGTTTTTGCACTTCTAGTTTTTTCATTGCAGTCACAGATTTTTATTAAACTGAGTTTTCCCTTATGGGGACCAGGAAACTGGGCCCCATATGGGAAAAAAATGGGTATTCATCACGTTGTGGGGACATAAGGTAAGGTATACCCGCTGACACACACGCACACACACACGCACACACACACACACACACACACACACACACACACGCACACACTGCCTGCCTGGTCACTTTGAGGGCCCTTTTTATATCTGCTGAATTCTTCTCAAGCTCCCTGCTGAAGTACCACTGCATTCCCCCCCCCATTTAACATTTTAGCCCAGTGAACCTGATGCATAATTCATGCACACGCACCTCTCTATTCACACAGTGCTCCTCCCCCATCTCCGTTCATCTCCCATAACACTGTGCCCCCCCATCTTACAGTCGCAGCTAATTCTGAGTCATCGTCGACCAATAGGAATGCAGCGGGGATGCTGTGTGTGTGTGTGTGTGTGTGTGTGTGTGTGGGGAGGGGGGGTAAAATGACCCTGTTTGCCTCCAGAGGGGGCCACAGGGTAGGGGGGTGAGCCCACCTTGAGCATAGCATCCAGCTCCCTGCGGCGCTCGTCCAGCCGGGTGGCGACGTGCCTCCAGCGATCCTGCACCTCCGTCAGCTCCGCCTGCAGCTCCGCCTCGGCCCCGCTGTCCACCGACAGCAGCAGCTGCCGCGCCGCCTCCACAGCCAGGATATAGCTGCCCTGCTGCCGGTGCAGGGCCTTCTCCTTCAGCTGAAGGGATGGGGAGCCGTCAGCAGGGGGCGCCACTACATGTCCGCACAGCATCATACTGGTAAATGTTTGCCAAGCTTGGTTTCAACTGGATGAAAGTAAAGGCTGCCCCAGTCACTGTCAAAAAAAGTTTGTACCTTTGAGGATACGATTTATTATCACTGGGGCTGTACCTTCAAGGGTCGACCAGTTGTACCACAGCTGTTGGACTCTGCACAACAGTTTTGTACCACTGGGGATGCAGTAATGTTGTTTGTACCTTGGGCAGCAAAACTGTACCAGGACTGTCCCCTTTTTTCTGACAGTGTAGGGAGCGGGAGAGTCCAAAAGATGTTTACTGTACTGTCTTTACTTAGCAGCACTGAGGTGAAGGAGAGTGGGGGCTTGTAGCCTGGTACAAATCCCAAGCAGCCGGTAAAAGCTCCTGTAGTTCAGCAAAAATGTTCCTGTAGTTCAACAAGTAAGTAGTGCTAACAATGTAAAGGTTATGGGTTCAAATCCCGCATTTATATTGTAGATCTTCGCTCTACAACAAATTAGATAGAAGTGTCAGATAAATAAAAGGACATGCTCACACACCACGGGCCACTCGGAGGCGCCAGTGAGCTGAACTGATTGTTTTTGGACTGTAGGAGGAAACCAGGATGCTCAAAGGGAACTCATTAAATGAGGAAAATGCACCAAGCGCCACACGCGCATTCTGGCAATTTGCGTGATTAATAAGCGCAAAGGACTAAATGCGAAATTTACAGTGTTAACCACGCCACGCTAACAAGCCTGAGCTGAAAGGCCCTCGGGGGGTCGGCGGGGGGGAGATAATCTCACCTGCACCTCATCCAGCAGGCAGCGGACCTGCTGCAGAGGCACCGGCGCCCCCTGCTGGGCTTCATCCACCTGCTGCGCCGCCTCCGTCAGCCAGCCGCGCAGCTTGCGGGCCATCTCCCTGTAGCGCTGCCACTGGCGCAGCAGGCTGTCGATGATGCCGCGGCGCTGCTGGGCACGCCGCACCACCCCGTGCCACTGGTTGCTTAGCAACGCCAACTTCAGGCTAAAGTCGTCTCTGCGGACCAGCGACACAGAGGTGGTCAGGAAGGGATGGACCAGTGACACCACAGCATATGTCAAAAAACATTGGGATAGCTAAGCTTAATTTTTTTCTATGGACTGAAGGGTGGGGTTACCTGTTGTTCACCTGTCCCTGCTCCAGAAGCCGCTGACCGTCACTGATGATAGAGTGGAGGACCAGCTGTCTGCAGAACATCTCAGCCTGGAAGATCTGCGCACACGTTTGCACGAGTTACGCTTTCACATCTGCGCACACGTCTGCGTGTCATCAGGTGGTCCCGTGCTGGAGGAAGCGTGTCGGTACGTGTCCACCCCCACGCCAGCCTCCTACCTCGTGGGCCCTCTGCTGCTCCAGAAGGCTCTGGTAGTTCCCGGAGATCTCCACGGCCAGCTTCTCCTCCGTCTGCTCCAGGAACTCCATCCAGGCTTCGCACTTCTCCAAGAAGCTCTGCTGCTCCAGCAGGAAGGCCTGCAGCTTGCTGCACGGAAACGATGCACAGATGCATCACGGGGGGGGGTCCACCATATGAGGTCCAAATGCGGCGGAGCTGCTGCCCCGGGCCCAGCTCGGCCCCTACCTGAACCTCTCGGTGGCCTGTGCCGTGGTACTGGCCCAGCTGCGGTTCAGCCTCTGCACCCGCTTGACCTCAGCGTCGCTGAGGGGCAGCTGGTAGCCGAGCTCACTGAGACGCTCCAGGTCGGGGGCCATGCTGCTCAGCCTGAGCATCTGCCCCTAGGGGGCAGCACAGCAAACACAGTGGGGGTCAGTCCCAGCCTGAGCTCCGACTCGGAGACCCAAATGAATCAGACCTTAATGACTGAACTGATCAGTACTGGGTGACATATACCAGATGTCAGATGTCATCTCTTTACATTGTAACCTCAAAAACAATCAAGGTTGCTTAAATTTATTATTATTATTATTATTATTATTAGCAGGAGCATGAGACTCATTGAGATTTATGAAAGGGGAGGGTATGTCTTTATTAGGGGGTTCTGATGGAAATGGCCCACATTCCTTAAATTAATTAGTGTGCATTTATTTGGGGAGGGCTACAAAACATTTTAGGGAGGCTAAAGCCCCCCCTAAATGAGGCCTAACGACACCCCTGCTTATTAGCCCTAGGGCTGCGGTACCTTGAGCTCCTCCATACGGGCCTGTATGACCGACAGCTCGGCAGTTCCGCTGGGGTCCGGCGTCTTCAGAACCTGTCCTGCCTCTGCAACACAGCGGTCCAGCTTGTCTAGTTGCTCGCTGAAGTTCTGATAGTCCTGCACACCAGCCTGGGAGGTCAGACACGCAGTGTAAGCTTGGGGAAGGGTATCGGAGCTGGCCAATCAGGATGGGGGGGGGGGGGGTCTGTACCTGTAGCACTGCCTGCTGTTTGACGAGCGCCTGCTCCACTGCGGCCAGGCGCTGAGCCAGTGACAGGTGGTCAGAGTGCAGTGTCGCGGCTGCGGAGGTGTCCACCTGCCTCCTCAGCTGCTCCCCCAGCTCCTGCAGCACATGCAGGGACTCCTGTAACGGCCGATGGGCCTGCAGCAGCTCCTGAAGAAAGATCAGGACACCTGTCACCGATGGGTCTGCTGTACAACACTGATACCAGCTGATTACAACCTGAGCTGGAAATTTCAGGTCCAGGAAGTAAAAATCCAGACCAAGATTTTGTTTTAACCAACCAGTTGAGTACTCTGTGACTGTGACTGTGACTCTGTATACTCAACTGGTTGGTTGAAACAAAATCTTGGTCTGGATTTTTACTTTCTGGACCTGAAATGTCCGCCTCTGATTCTAACACGGCTGTGACCAAGAGGGCTACTGTTTAACTCCAATACTTAAATTAAATTATGTGACGTTTAACGGTGTCAAGTTGCTGCCAAGAACCATTCGTTTGGAATGCTGACACAGAGGTGGGGGGCTTGTGGGGGCCGTGGGGTGGCCCCGTTCCCCAGGGAACCTCTCAGTCTGTAAATCTGCATCTGTCTGCCTCTGAAAGGGGCTTTGTTAAGGGGAGACGAGCTGCATTCGCGCAAACGCAACGCGCACCATTCGGCCACCAGAGCAGGACAGCCGCTACAACTACCCCAACACAGCTGAAAAGGGAGGGGGTGGGGGTGGGCATTTGTCAGGCGATCGCCATAGCGACTGGTGACAAACACTAGACTGCCATTCAAAAGCCGTTGTGGTTTTTTATGATCACACTTTCTAAGGGAAGTTCTGAGAGATTCAGGAATGGGTGACCGGGGCACCCTTGGGCCGCCCCGAATGAGGACGGTGCAAACGGCCCGGCAAAGCCGTCACCGGGCGCTTGTCTCACTCACAATGCACTGCTGGACCCAGGATGACACCTCTTCGTCACCGGCGTCCTTGCTGTCGGCGGCCTGAAGCAGCTGGTTGGCACGCTCTTCCTGCCGCTGGACGGCGGCCGCGCTCTGCCCGTAAAGCTCCTGGTACCGCCGCCACAGTTGCTGCAGAGCCTTGCTGCTCCTCAGCTGTTCCCCGATCTCCTCTAGCAGCCCGTTCCACCTGAAAGAGCTCAACCCTTCAGCGAGGTTCTAGCTTCCATTCGACTGCCTTTCTGGCACCCGATCAAATGCTAACCCAACATGCAACCCTCACCCACCCAGGCCTCACCTCAAATTGACGTCCTTGAGGGCGCCGTTGAGAACGTCAGCCACAGCGGGCTGGCATTCCTTCAGCAGTTGGTGCGTCAGGGAGCCAAACTTCCTCAGACTGTTCTCTTGCTTCTCCAGCTCCTCCTGGAGGTTCTATACCGCAGCAGAGCACAGGGAGTCCATCAGAATCACATGAGTATCTCTTTATGAAGGCACCGAGGCAGGCCAATGAGGCAGGAGGCTCAAATATGTACAGCTGGAGAGGCTGACTGGATCTCCTGAAGTACAGAACTCGCCGTGCTCTTACGGTACCTGCAGATTCTCCACCTGGACCATCACAGCCTCCGGGGAACCTGTGAGGAGACGGAACCGGGACACCGAGTACCGTCCCTCCATCAGGTATCCACTGATCTCCTCAGATGCTCTCTTGTAGAGGTTCCACTGCTCCAGCACTGACTTCAGGCTGATCTTCAGCTGTCCGGTCTGAAAGGGTACAGCCATTAGGAGCTACCCGAAAATCCCCTGGTGACAGCCGGTTGCTGCGCTAATGCAGAAAAGCCTACCATGTGATCTAGGTTAGCCCATGTGTGATTGAGGCTTTGGAGTGTCTCTGTGATGACAGTGCAGATCTCCTCTCTCTTGTTCAGTATGAGGCCGTGACCTCGCTCCTCCACCTTCTCCACATCCTTCTCCTTCTCCCTGATCATTTCCTCCAGCTCCTGAGAAGGAAGCAGTAGGCGGTGAGGGTGAGACGGATCACGTCGCTGCAGAGTGTTCAGTAACAGTTTAAGTTTGATGTCACAGCAGTGTTGGGTTGTTATGATCAGGAATCAAGTGGCTCTCCATGTTCTGGACCAGAAGGCTAACTATTGGAAATGTGAAGCAGCCTTTCTGATTATCGTGTGGGTTTGTGAGTCCTTACCTGGCAATCTTTGAGGGCATTCTGGACAGAGGCCAGGTCCTCTATGCGGTTCTTCTTCTTAAGCTTCTCCTCCTGAGCAGCAAACCACGTCCTCAGGGTCTGTAGGCTGTTCTCGTACTCCGTCCAGGACTCCAACAGACCCTCCAGCAGCTGGATCTAGAAATCAAGCACATAGAAGTTGGAGCGGCATGCGTGCGACCTCACCGCATGAAACAGGCTGCACGTGTGCACACGCAAGCAGAGACCTTCTCGGTGATGCGGCCCTGCAGGACGTGCCAGCGCCGGTTCATGGCGCCCAACTTCTCGGCGAAGTCGGTCTTGTCACTCCGCTTGCTCTCCACGTCTTGGCTGCTGATCTGCAGCACGGACTGGTTCACGAAGTCCACCGTCAGCTGCTTGCAGTTCAGGTCGATCTTAAACCCCTGGAAGACCACATCAACCTGTTGTTACCTGTCTGACTGCACATCATGGACCACTCTGGTTGCCTGTCTGACTGCACATTATAGACCACTCTGGTTACCTGTCTGACTGCATATCATAGACCACTCTGGTTACCTGTCTGACTGCATATCATAGACCACTCTGGTTACCTGCCTGACTGCACATTATAGACCACTCTGGTTACCTGTCTGACTGCATATCATTGACCACTCTGGTTACCTGTCTGACTGCACATCATGGACCACTCTGGTTACCTGTCTGACTGCACATTATAGACCACTCTGGTTACCTGTCTGACTGCACATCATAGACCACTCTGGTTACCTGTCTGACTGCATATCATGGACCACTCTGGTTACTTGCCTGACTGCACATTATAGACCACTCTGGTTACCTGTCTGACTGCATATCATAGACCACTCTGGTTACTTGCCTGACTGCACATCATAGACCACTCTGGTTACTTGTCTGACTATGCTGTAATAGCAAGATAATCAGTGCCAATTGAAGTTTTTTGGAGCTCAAGGAAAATACCACCACCACCCATCCTAGGCAATTTGAACCTGGATTGCTAATTGGCACCCCCTCAAAAGATGGCACCCTTGAGGGCACCCTAGGTGGCCGCCTATGTCACCTAATGGGCAAATCGCATTTTAGATATAAATTCTCTGCTACTCCATGGACAGAGGGGTTACCTTGTACTTCTGGAGATAGCTCTGGATGGCCTCTGACCCCACGGCCCCGTCGATCTTCTCCTCATCCTCCTCGATCACATTCTCCATCAGGGAGATCCAGCTCATGAGCTCGGTGATGGCATGCAGGGACGCCAGCTTCTCCATCTGCAGCTGGGGAGGGACAGGCACACGCATGCCATTTTACCTCGACTCCCCCGCACGCCATCCTTTCCCACATACAGAAAACGCGACCGTGTCTGTGACAGGCAGGGTGGTGAAAAAGCTGCTTTACATGACAGGATACAGTCTGAGTGAATCAAATACCAGGAGCTCCATGGTTTAACACTTCAATGCATTGTTCATATGACGTGTTTTCTTGGGGAATTTTCAAAGTCCTGGATGAACCCTAAACTTTATTATCCTTATTGTTTAGCTTGATGACTGTACATAGAATATTCCGGAAAAGAGGACTGAGTATATTCCTAGGAGACACTATTCCTTTCACAGCCTGCTGTCATAAAGTAAGGACACATTTTTTCACACATTCATTTACCTTATATTACTCACTGGGATGATGAGTTGAACCTCTCATTTTGGACACAATGTCACGTAAATTAAAGATCAATTTGCTCCTGATATGCTTAGAGCTAATGAGGTTCAGAGAGATAACCAATCAGATTGTAGATGAGATGGGTCCAAGCAACCAGAGGAGGAGCGACCAAGACACCTCATTGGTTGGTTCTGCCTCCTCTAGTTGCAGAGTCACCTCCTCTACAACCTGATTGGTTATCTTTCTGAATCAATCATTTTGGGAGCCTCCTGGTGGCCCGCTGGGTTGTGCCCCCGTCCCCGGCCGTTGGGTTCTGCCCCTGGGCCTGGGTGAGCTGGAGCGCTACCTGGTGGAGCTTCTCCTGCACGATGGGGATGCGCGCCAGCAGCTCGGCCCACTGCGTGTCAAGCCGGCCCAGCGCCGCCCGCAGCACTGCCGTCTCCGCCTTCTTCAACCGCAGCAGCTGCCCGCCGGTGTACAGCACTGAGGCCTTCAGCGAGGACTTGGCATCCACCTCTTTGGAGAACTCCTTTTGGGAAAGGTGGGGGAGAAGGATGAGTGAGATACTGGCCTGGATATGACCCCACCGAAATGAAACATGAAAGGTAGTTGGGCCCCCACCCTGACCCACCAGGAAGGCGTACAGGTGGTCCCGGACAGTCTCCAACTCTAGGGGAACCGTCACTGACTGCGTGGACCAGAACTCCAAGCGGTCCAGAGCCGATCTCAGCCATTGGTTAAGCTCAGCGGACTCTGCCTGGTACCTGAGGGTCATGTGACGAACACTCATTAGAAACACAGTATTGGTGACAGGTATGGGGGTTATACATTTAGGCTCGTAGCATATTTCCATGTCTCAGGCCACAAAGGAGTGGACAGGGTGAACACTGTGAAGGGTCTCTGCTGAAATCAGCAAAATCGTGGATCTCTGTGCACTGAACGCCAAAAGCATTTTTATATTTTACAATCTCAGCCATCTTTGTGAGTTCAGAGAACATTCCTTTGACTGTAATAGATGGATGTAAAGTACTGAGCAAAAGTCTTAGGGCAATTAAAGAAAATGATGGTTAAATTATCTTCATGTGGTTGATTTACAATCCTCTCCTAAAATCACCGCAGTATTTTCAGCAATCATCCAACACACCCATGTATTTTCTGACTCGACCACTAGCTCACCTTATTTGGCTAATAAATACCTCAATTCATTTTCTTCTAGTCATCCAGCAAGGTATCAGTCACATTTTGGAGACAGAAGCAATTCCTCTTATTCTGTTTGTTTGCATTTACATAAGAACATAAGAAATTTACAAACGAGAGGAGGCCATTCGGCCCATCAAACTCGTTTGGGGAGAACTTAACTAATAGCTCAGAGTTGTTAAAATCTTATCTAGCTCTGATTTAAAGGAACCCAGGGTTTTAGCTTCCGCTACACTAGCAGGAAGACTATTCCATACTCTTAACTGCACGCTGTGTAAAGAAGTGCTCCCTCAAATTTGTTTTAAAATGTTCTCCCACTAATTTCCACTTATGGCCACGAGTTCTACTATATAAACTAATATTGAAATAGCCATTTGGCTGAACAGCATCCAGACCTGTTAGAATCTTATAGACCTGGATCATGTCCCCCCTTAGTCTCCTTTGCTCAAGGCTAAACAGATTCAGCACAGCTAACCTCTCCTCAAAAGACAAATAAGATTTGTTTGCTAATGTTAAATAGTTTTTTTTCCTGAGTAAATATATATTTACTACTTAGATAAACAGCTTTAAACATTCTCTTTGACTGCCTTTTGCTTAAAACGTCACAGTGGGTGAACTGTACCAATAGCGAAGCCTCTGAATAAATGCTGAGTATGTATGTGACCTGGGTGTGATGTGACCCTGGAGTGATGTGGCACTGGCATGAAGTGACGCTGGGGTGTGATGTGACCTGACCCCGGCGGCCCCTGACCTGGCCCAGTGCCTGAGGGTGGAGTCCAGGCGGTGCAGCTCCTTGTTGACGCGGGTGGAGCAGCTGAGCCAGTGCTCGGCCAGTTGTGTCAGCTGGGCCTCCAGGCCCGAGCAGCTCACCGTCAGCAGAAGGCGCTTGCCGTCTTCCAGGGCCTGGTACAGCTGGGGCTGCCTCTGCGCCAGGCCTGCCTTCAGCCGCTGGAGCGGGTCATGGAGGGGGGGGGGCAACAGTTAGCAAGCTGGAGTTCAAGCTGGAGGATTGTTATCTATCCATTCTGCTCAGTTTGAGCTCTTGATGCTCTCATGTGACACCCCTCTCTGTCTCTCTTCACTGGCCCCCTACTGGCCCTCACATCAAGTTCAAGTCCTTACTGCCGTATTGCAGGGCTTTAATGAAGCAGCCCCCACCTCCATGGAGGTCCTCATGGAGACCTACAGCCCGTCTCGGGTCGGCGAGCTAACACTGCCTGCAGATCCCTCCACCACCAAAAAATACGAGGTGTTTCTCGCATGGTTCCTCAACGGTGGAAAGAGCCACATCCACATCCGGTCGCCCGTGTTCCTCTCAGACTTGCAGGCTGCACTTATACCTTGTTGAAAGCTTTGGATGTATCTATCGTATCTAAGGAATGGGGTGCAGAAAGGGAGGACCTGGTACCTGGTACAGTGCGATCCTTTCAGCCAACCTTTCCTCAGTCTCTTCTACCAGGCCTACAGTGGGGATGCTGGCCTCCACTGCCTCCAGTTGCGTAAGGAGGGCCTGGTACTGCTCCTCTAGCAGGGTCCACGACTGTGGGGGTGAGGGGGCAGCATGCATTAGCGCACCGAGGAAAAGAACAGGGATGGGGGTCAGAGTGTCAGAGCATCCAAGGGCGGGCCTCACCTCCAGGACGTACTCGAGCTCCACGCCCCGCTTGTGCGCTTGCTTGAGCACCCCTTGGGCCTGCGCCAGCGTCTCCTCCAGGGCCTGGTTCTCCCGGGGCAGCACAAATCCGCCAATTCGCCGGAAAAGCGTCTCCGTCAGGATCATGTGGGACTCAAGCCCCTGGAAGAACTCCTGTGGAGGGAGAAGCCAGGATGCTAAAGTATGCAGTTCATACCAGACATTCAGTGCGTAATCTGCTCTGTAAACAAGGGGATCAAGATATATATATATATCATATTAATATATATGATATTGTTAAACGGTATGATTAACAAATTGCACGGCACGGCTCCCCATATTCCCGGGCCCACCTTGTGCTTGTCCAGTACATTCTGCACTTCGTCCACAGAGCTGGCGATCATCTTCTGGTCGGCGGCCATCTTGTCCTGGGCTGTGTCCAGCAGATCCACCAGGTCCTGCAGCGCCTGCTCGCACTGGACTTTCAGGGCCAGGTTCTGGTTCAGCCCACTGCGTCGCGAGCCCACCAGATGCACAAGCTCCTCGTGGGCATCCTGTGGCAGACAGCAGGGGATGGGGAGTTCTTACAGTCAAGATCACCTCTTCCATAAGCGTCATGAGAGGGCAGCACCAGCAGGGGAGTCCAGTGAGGACCATGAGTCTTTATGACAAACTGGTGATTTTACACTGTGTGACAGCAATAACACTATAGGTACACGGGGGTACATTGAACCCCCATCTCCCCATTTGGCAAATTTTAAGATAGAGGCCCTCGATGAAGAACAACTGGGGAACCTCACACCATGGGTAAACACACTGTATGACAAAACTGACACTCTGAAGTGCACTAACACTGTGACAACTATAACACACTGTCACTTAAATTGTACTGACACTATGCAGTAACTAACACTGTATGACACTGACATGCTAATGCTGTTTAGGAGTACTGACACTATACAGTACACTAAACCTGTGAGACAACACTGGCACACTAATGCTGTTTAACAAAAATAATAATATGCACTACACTGACCATGTGTGTCAGCACTGATGCACAAATACTGTGTGATTAAACTGATACACTAACACTGACAGCACTGACTGGGGAACACTAACACTATGTGACAGCACTGACTGGGGTACACTAACACTATGTGACAGCACTGACTGGGGTACACTAACACTATGTGACAGCACTGACTGGGGTACACTAACACTATGT